GATCTATTAGAGATATTCCAATGGAAAGGAGAAGTGGCAAGAGGATGTCCAGATTGGAAAGAAGAAGAGAAAGTGCATCTTGGAAAAAAATAGGTAAATGTTAAGAAAATCAAATGTTAGACGCATGTTAGGCGTATACAATGTTTGACGTTTATATTTTGTGTGGAGTCCACTGTCACTATGCATGCACAGTAACTTACTTTTCTTACGCCTATATAAACGATTGAAATCGATCATTTGAAAAGATAAGAAAATCTCATATCAATAAGAGAATTCTCTCTCCCCTCTATATTATTCAGTGCCTGGATCCCCCGGGGGGAATAAGTTTTTCTTTATTCTCAAAAGTTATATCCACCATAAAATTAAATCCTTTTTAATAACAGTAAACAAAATTTTAGGAGATTTTGTACATTTCTTTATAGAATCCAAAAACCAAGTTTTGTGGGTTTTCTAACAATTCACGTCACATTTTTTTTTTAATTCTTTATATTATTTTAAATATGTTATTTTCACCATTTACCAATTCATTTTAAACACAAAATATAAACCAAAAATTAAAATAAATAACTTAAAAACGTTTGAAAATTGATATTATGCAGAAGAACTATAAACTAAAAAAATTACCATTCAAGAACTAGAAAAATCAAAAACCAAAATCCAAAATCCAAAACTAGAAATTAAAACCAATAAAAACCTACCAAACATTCAGGGCTTAGTTGAATGAAGAACATTAATCTCTCTTTTTAGTGGTTTTGTGAGTGTTTTCTATTATGGGTGTTTTCTTGTTATGAAGTGGGAGCAAGAGACAAGAACATATAATCTTTGAAGGCCTCTAATAATATGTTTATTGGTTTATGAATTTGCTTTCACTGAAATTTGCAATAAGAGTTCACAGAGAGGCAACAAAAGATCAACTTTTATACCATGAATTAGCAGACTACATACATCATTTTGTACAGTTGTATCCTTCTGTACATATGTATCCTTCTGTACAGCCATTCTTCTGTACAACCATTCTTATGTACAGTGGTTTATATTTGTACAGACATTATTTTTGTAAAGTGGTCTATTCTTCTATACAGTTGTATCCTTCTGTACAGATGTATCATTCTGTACAGCCATTTTTATGTACAGTGGTTTATATTTGTACAGACATTTTTTTTGTAGAATGGTCTATAATATAAATTTTAAAAAACATCAAACAAAATGTATATCAAATGATAGAAAAAAGCATAGATTTTAGGTATATGATAAAGTTTAGAGAAAATAAAAATCATTAACGAGCATTTTAATTATTAGACTTAAGAGAATAAAATGTACAGATGCATCTTTCTGTACAGATGCATCCTTCTGTACAGACATTCTTCTGTACAGTGGTCTATATCTGTATAGATATTATTTGTACAGTAATCTGTAATATAAATTTTAAAAATCATCAAACAAAATGCATATAAAATGATAGAGAAAAAACATAGATTTTTATGTATATGATCAATTTAAAATAAAATAAAATTTATGAACGAGGATTTTAATTATTAAACTTTGAGAAAATGGAATGTAATAAAGAAAGAAAAAGAAATTAAAAAGGAAACCTGACCCACGTCTCTCTCTCTCTCACCCAATAAAAAGTCCTTACTTGTAATTTCCAATCTTTACACTCTACCCCACTTTCTCTTCTATCTCACACGTTTTCTATTGACTGTTTTACCAATTATGAATAGTAAACTGACTACTTTATTAATTAAGTTTGAAAAACTGACTACTTTGCAAAGAAACCCTTATAAATATATATATATATATATATAAGGACGTGTGATTAGCTTTAACGTTTAAAGCACAAAAAAGCTCTCATGGCTGCTTCTTCTTCTGTGAGACAAACCCCAACGGGACCTCAAGTGTTCATCAATTTCCGTGGAAAAGATGTGCGCAACGGCTTCATTAGCTTTCTTGAGCCTGCCATGAGAGAAGCTAGTATAAACGTCTTCATAGACAAGGACGAAGTGGTGGGCACAGATCTGGTTAACCTTTTTGTTAGGATCCAAGAGTCAAGAGTACATCGCAGTGGTGATCTTCTCTAAGGATTACACAAGTTCGGAATGGTGCTTAGATGAGCTGGCCCAGGTCAAGGATTGCATTTATCAAGGCGGTCTCAATGTGATTCCCATCTTCTACAAACTTGCACCTTCCTCAGTGGAAGAACTCAAAGGAGGCTTTGGCGATACTTTCAGGGTTCTAAAGCGCAAATATAAACACGACCATGAAAGAACTCAAAAATGGGAAGAAGCTTTACAATTTATTCCTAAAAAAAGGGGCATGACCTTTTCAGAACAAAGGTTGTTCTCTCATCTTTTGCTTCGTTATTCTAGATTGCAAATCTATATTAAGCTTTAGCTGACTTCCTTAATTAACTCAAAATAGTCTCCATTTTAGATACGACTCATTTATGATATTTCGATTTTTGATCTAACTGAAATATATGCAATCTCATTTTGTGGCTATTAAAATAAATTAACTCATTGTTCAAATAATATTAAATTTTTAAAAATAATATTACTTTCCGTTTCTTTATCTTAAGAAAACTTATCCATAATTAAGTATTATATAAAAAAAGAAATTATATTCATTCTAAATTATATATACCGTCTGACAAATTTTTTTAATATTTTTCATTTACAACTATAATATAGCAAAACTTTATTCTAAAATATATAATATATAAAATTTTGTACTAAATAAAATTCAACTCATATTGTAGTAAAGGACATAATCTAGTTACTATATAAAAGCTCATTAATTGCATTCATTCGACAAAAGTTGACTTTGACCTTTTGGTCTTCTAAATCCAAAATCTATATTAGTTAATTATTCGGCAGTTACGTTGTTGTATGCATTAGGTGTGATAAAGCTCCAAAAAACGATCACACTTGAATTCTTCTAAAACAGAGGAGAAACTTAGTCAAATTCCATCATTTCAAGTATAAATCTATTCATCAAGCTGGCCAGCCAAGGAAGAAAAGAAAATCGTAAATGCAGTTTCTATATAAACCAACTTCCAAAATACCATTTAGCACAATTCATATCTTAAAGTTTTCGCATTCATCAAGTAACACAAATTGTAGAGGTATAGAGGGTACACAACACAGTGATTTCGCTTGGAACGCGCCAAGCAAACGCTTTTCTATTTATTCTTATTGTAATAAATCTTTTACAAGGATTCTATTATCTCGGCAATTACTTGATCTATTCTACCCGAATAATCAACCCCGACTAAAAACAAATCTAAGCCCAATTCTCTCGTCTGTTTCTTATCACTCGCCAGTGAAGACAAAGAGAATCACAAACACTCACCTTCTAAGCTTTTGCTAGGCTTCGAAGGCAACACACGTATGACAATATTCTAGAGTGCTTAGGCGGCTCAATGCCTACTCCTAGAATATTTATACTATTCTTCAGAACCCTAAAACTCTAGGATCTCCGAGAATCAATGAGCGGGATCTTCCTTGATTGACAAGCCTATCCCTTTCCTTATTTGTTGAGAAGAATATTCACCAAATCTTCTCAACCAACTATCATCTTGATCACCACGCCAAGTCACCAAAGCTCCTTGGCACGTCACATCAACCACTCTAGCTCCGCCACGTCAGCTTACGTGTCCATGTCAGCAACTCAGATGTTTGATGTAGATTTGATGCAGCTTCCTGTTGTCTAACAGCTCCCTGATATCCATCAACTCGTTGTTGTCAGAATCTGCATCTTCACAAATCACTAGAGAAAACGTTTCCCAGGAGGCTGCAATGAAGAAAATATTGTTCATTCAGATGAAATTATCGCTGTGGTGATCTTTGACGTTATGAAACGCAATTCGAAAATTGCAATGGCCGCCGAATTATTCTCGCTTGCAGTGGCCATGGCTTTAATGGTTAGAATCTAACTGTTAAGCTCTCGCCATTTCTATATTTTCTCTCTATGCTTGTTTTTTTTTTTTTTTGATAAACCCTATCGGCTGATCCGGTCAGCCCCGGTAGAAACGCACCGAAGTTCTTCAGTGTGGACTACTCTCCGAAGGGCCACCACACTGTCAGTCCCGAGTTTGGAATGATTTCCGACGAATGCCAGGGGTAGCCAGATCGCCTGTTACTGGACTACCAGGTAAACTGCTTGGACCTTTTGGCCCAAACCCAGACTTCCCACACAAATGTGTTTTTTTGTTTCCAGCGTGGATCGAACCTGGGTTAGTTCCTTCCAATGTTTCCCCAATTCTCAACTACCACTGGACCACAGCTGTGTGGGTCTCTATATGCTTGTTAATATCTTTATATGAACTTTACGAGAGAAATAAAAATTTTGGACAGACAAAATTTTGGGTCCTCAAGAGACAAAACGACAAGGCCTTCATGATCAATGCAAGGGATCTCTCTATCACATGGTCGGATAACCCTGAATATTGTCTTGGCTCCCTCTCCCAAACGAGAAAACAAAGTAAGAGCTCTAAAAATTTCATTAATATACAAATTTTTTCTTACAAAAAGTTATATATTTTAGCGAGAAATCATGACAAGATTCATGAATTTGAAACGCAAAGAATGACTTGTTCATGTCTTCTAAATATGGTTTTTTTTTTTTTTTTTTTTTGAATCTTTTATCTCATATGTAATAGATCCTAGCCATGAGCGTCATTTTTAGTGTGTAAATGATGCATATGAATAACGCCTTGATCTAACTTATTGTTATAGCTTTTTTTTTTGTTTTCAATATTAATAAAAATATTAGGTCCCTTAGTTTACTTAAAAAAAAAAAAATACCAACACAACAAATATGTGATTAATATAAAAACAAAAATGCATTGTGAGCTTGTGTAACTGCAATATATAGACCATTCTTCGAATATATAAAGGGGTGATTATTTTTTTTTTGCAGCGAGGTAGTTGTTGAAGCCGCGCTGTTGAATAAAGTTTGCTGGTTAGATGTGTCTGGAAAGTTCGACACAAAAGACCTGTCTCTAGGGATAAAATACGAGGTGGTTTTCGTGGTTAAGCTAGAGGATACAGCTTACGGATGGGATTGGGCACCGGTTAAGCTGAAATTGGTCATGCCCAGTAATAGCGAGACACCTCAAGAGCATAGTGTGAGCTTTGAGGAACACATTGGGAAGCAATGGATAGATATTCCCGCCGGTGAGTTCATAATGTCTAAGGAGAATGCAGGAGAGATCAGTTTCTCATTGTATGAACATGAAGCCAATATGTGGAGGTCAGGGCTTATAGTCAAAGGCGTTTTAATTCGTCCTAAATACCAAGTCTAATTCATTTTGTTCGTATTAATTTCATTACTCGCTGATTATATGAAAGGTGTATTTACACGTTTATATTGGTTATGAATATACTATACGATTTTCATGTTTTCACGTTTTAGATTATACTATATTACTATTTTCACCACTTTGAGTATTCATCAATTTAAAAAAAAAATCATGGCCAGATCAAACCTAATTTTTCTAAAAAAAAGATGTTGGTTTAGTTTAGTTTAGTTTTTTTTTTTTTGGTGTGGATTTAAACAGATATAAAAATAAATAAATATGAACATGATATAAGTAATAGTCTTTGATGTTAATGTGTTGGCCGGAAAGTCGGATATACACATACAAAGTCCAACACCAATACTTGGGCTTATTATAACATGTATTCTTAGTCGGTTTATCGGCAGAGCCGGCGCTCACCTTTGTAAGGCTACAAGCCAAACAAAAAAAAGGGCTGCGTATAATTTTTTTTTATTGAACTGTTATCAAGAAAAAATAAAAAATGAAAACACTATTGCAGCTTTGGAGGTTCGAACCTGGGAAATAGTCATTTAGAGTGTATGCAAACCACTTGACTAAAGGAACTTTTAACAAAAAATGGCCAAAATTTAATGTTATTATTATCGGCCGCAAGCCAATGCTTGGCCAGCTTGGCCCAAGGGCCGGCTCTGATTGTCGGCTACTTGAGTTCGATTAAAAACCCAAGACAAATCTTGTTTAACTTGGATTAGATGATAACATGTATTTTTAGTGAGCTATATAGCTTGTTGCCTTGTTCCTTGTGGTTCGACCCTCCAGCACTACTTTCGACATTGCCATATATTTGTGGTATTGAGTGTCAGAGACTTAAAACTTTGAGCTATCATCAACACCTACAAAATCCAACGTCAACAATGTACACACGTGTAATTCCTATGAACACTATAATCTTTACCCAATGAACAGCCTCTGAAAAGGCCATATTTCGGGTTGAACCAGTCAAGAAGAGAATCAGTCAATTGTTGTTTTTTTTCTATCTTATCAAAAAAGGAAAAAACCGTATGACTTGTTCTTCTTCACACCGTACTTTGTAAGGAAAACGGAATGGCTATTAATTAGAGGATTTTTGAGGTTCATTAACTTTACACGTGTATATGTCTATATTTAGCTTCAAATATGTGGTTGGCGAATAAATTAGTGAAAATTACTCAGAATGACTCATATCTTAATAGAAATAACTAGATTAACTCTGTTTTGAAAGACATAACTAGAATGACTAATATATTTTTTAAAAAGACCTTCTAACCTGTTTCTACGTTATAATAACGAAATTGCCATTTTTATTTAATTTTGAAACAAAAAAAATAAAAATCATTTTTATATCACAAAAAAAAAAAAATCCAAAACATTTTATCTCTTCTTCGTTTCTTCGTTGCCCTCATCTTCGCTATGCTGCTTCTCCCTCCTGCGCCAGATCGTCGCTTCTCTCTTCTCCACCGCTTCTACTTCGTCTTCTTAGGCTTTGCCGCCAACAACTACGCCAAATTCCCTCACCAGTAGCAGCTACATCAAGGTTTTCCTTTGATTTATGGTCTTTTTTGATAAATTAAGTTGTAAATACGTATCGCATGAAAGGTGTTCGATGAAATGCCAGTCTTGACGGCAGACTTATTTGTTAGTTATCGCAGATTATTTGTTTCTCATTACAGATTTGTTTCTTGGTTGCATTGTTTTGATTGCAGATTTATTGGTTCTCGATGGGTTCTGTCTAGTCATCGACATAGATTCCGGTGGAGTTAACTTCAGTGATTATGAATTTTGCTGGTTTGTGTTTACTAAGACATAGATTTGTTAGTATCACCACAGATTTGTTTAGATATGACCACAAATTTGTTTTGATATGTTCACATACTTGAAGATACAATTATGTATTTTGCAAATTATATGAAGATACAATTTGCAAAATTTTATATAAACTAACTTTATAAAATAAATCATCCCGCGATGTACCGCGGGCTAAAATCTAGTGGTATATGTAAACAAATTTGTTACTATAAATTGTATTGCAAATTTGCAATAAATTAAATAAAAAAATTGTTGGATGGTGGTGACAAAACTAAACATACGTTTTTTGCACTACGACGTCCAACGGAGTGAGATAATCATTGATTTAAGTTACATTTGATTTAAGTTATAAGAATGTAATCGAAAGAGTCTAATGTCAATAATGTAGGCCACTCTACACATTAGTCAAGCTCATGGACTTTTGTATTGATTTTAGACGTCATGCCTACGTTTCCTTACCGATTTGTATTGATCAGGCCTACATTTCCTTACCGATCCTAGAAATTAAAATTCCAATTCTGGTAAGTTCCGACCAAACACGTACTCCAATAAATCACTATAAATCATCACATCTCTCTTAAATATTTTTCATAAGCACAAGAGAGAAATCGAGTAGAGAGAGAGATAGATCACAAAAATGGTTTTGAGTGTTCATCCTATTCTACACACTACCACTCTTCTGTTTTTTCTTTTTCTCATGTTTTCAATTTCAATATTTTCCATTGTTGGGTCAGCTTCTTTTTCTTTAAATACAGACAGAGAAGCTTTGATCTCGTTTAGGTCCCAACTTAGCCGAAGCCCACAAACACTTTCTTTCTCTTGGGACCAAAACATATCTCCTTGTAATTGGACTGGCGTGTCTTGCAACACACGGAACAGAAGAGTGACTTCCATTAACCTCTCTGGTCAAGGTCTCACCGGTTCCATAAGCCCAAGTATTGGTAATCTCTCTTTTCTCACATCTCTTCAACTTCAAAACAACCAACTTCGAGGTCCAATTCCAAAAGAGATCGCAAGTCTTTTCCGCCTAAAGGTTCTTAATTTAAGCTCTAACAACTTTGAAGGATTTTTACCTTCCACACTAAGCAAGTTAGTCAATCTCCGAATCCTCGACCTAACCTCCAACACGATCACTGGTCTTGTTCCAAACTAGCTTGGTGATCTCAAGAACCTCAATGTCTTAAACTTGGGCAAAAATCTTTTCTATGGACCAATTCCACCATCCCTTTCAAACATTTCATCACTCACCGTTTTAAGCCTAGGCACAAACTCTCCAAGTGGTCCAATTCCTGATGATTTGGGTCGTCTTGAAAGGCTAAAAGTCCTTGATCTCACCATAAACAACCTCACTGGAACTATTCCTCTTTCTATATATAACATCTCTTCCCTAGTCTCTTTGGTTCTTGCTTTCCAAATCTTTTGGTTTTCAACATATGCTTCAACAAGTTCACCGGAAATATTCCAGCTTCTCTACATAATCTCACAAACATCAAGGTGATCTGAGCGGCGCACAATCTTCTAGAAGGGAGTATACCACCAGGTCTAGGAAATCTTCCATTCCTAGAAATGTACAACATCGGATTCAACAAAATAGTATGGGGTAGAGATCAAAATCTTGATAACTTTATCAAGTCTTTGAGTAATAGCTCTCAACTCAACTTCCTTGCATTTGATGGAAATCTCTTGGAGGGTGTTCTTCCAGAATCTATTGGAAATCTTTCAAAGAATCTTTCGAAACTTTTCATGGGAGGAAACCGCTTCACGGGTAAAATTCCAGAATCTATTGGCAATCTCACTGGCTTAACGCTTCTTAACATGAGTGATAACTCACTCACTGGTGAAATCCCTCAAGAAATCAGAAATTTGAAAAGGTTGCAAGTGCTAGAACTCGCAATAAATCAACTTGTTGGAAGAATCCCTGATTCTCTTGGCGATCTTGGCGCGTTAAATGAGATCAATCTATCTCAAAACAATCTAGAAGGTTTGATCCCGCCATCGTTCGAAAACTTCAAGAATGTGCTATCCATGGACCTATCCAACAATAGGCTAAGTGGAAGAATACCAAATGGAGTTCTTAACCTTCCTAGCTTGAGTGCTGTCTTGAATCTATCGAAAAACCTATTTTCTGGTCCAATCCCTCAAGATGTAAGTCGTCTCGAAAGCCTTGTGAGTCTAGATCTCTCTGATAACAAGTTTTTAGGCAACATTCCCTCATCTATCAAAGGTTGTCAGAGCTTGGAGAAGCTAAACATGGCTAGGAATCATCTTTTTGGATCAATTCCTGATGAATTAGCAGAAGTAAAAGGTCTAGAGTTCATAGACCTCTCGTCAAACCAATTTTCTGGTTTTATTCCTTTGAAATTTCAAGATTTACAAGCTTTGAAGTTCTTGAATCTTTCATTCAACAATCTTGAAGGACGGATCCCAAATGGTGGGATTTTCAAGGATAGTTCGAATGTTTATATGGAGGGAAATCCAAAGCTATGCATCCATGCAGCTTGTTGAAAAACTCGGATGCACGGAAAGCTTTTGAAAGTGAGCATTATTACATGTGCGGTAGGTGTAATTGCGATATGCGTGATAACTTTCTTGATTCTGAAAAGAAAAGCAAGAAAGTCTATCACATCTACATCATCAAGTTCACTCCTCAAGGAACCATTCATGAATGTCTCATACGATGAGCTCAGGAGAGCTACTGAGAATTTCAACCCTAGAAATATTCTCGGCGTTGGAAGCTTTGGATCAGTATTCAAAGGGATAATAGGAGGAGCTGATGTCGCGGTAAAAGTCATCGATCTCAAAGCACAAGGATACTACAAAGGCTTTATTGCAGAGTGTGAGGCTTTGAGAAATGTCAGACATAGAAATCTTGTGAAACTAATAACTTCTTGCTCAAGCATAGACTTCAAAAACACTGAGTTTCTAGCTTTGGTGTATGAGTTTTTGAGCAACGGGAGCTTAGAAGGATGGATCAAAGGCAAGAAGGTAAACTCTGATGGGAGTGTTGGGTTAAGTCTTGAAGAGAGAGTCAATATAGCCATTGACATTGCATCGGCATTGGATTATTTGCACAATGATTGTGAGGTTCTGTGGTTCATTGTGATCTAAAAACAAGCAATATCCTTCTGAACGAAGAGATGGTTGCAAAAGTTGGCGATTTCGGGTTGGGTCGTGTGTTGTTTGATGCGTCCGATGGTCGTTGTCACGCTTCTATAAGCTCCACACACGTCTTGAAAGACTCCATTGGCTATATTCCTCCAGGTTAGTTTTTTTTCTTTAGTTTATTCATTTCCAAATCTCATAATCATAAGTAACATAGAAAAATCATTACATCTAGTGTCATTTTAATGTGCGATTAGTGCTCTCAATATAATTCTGATCCAAAAATAGATGAATAATTGTAAAAAAATTTACTATTAAATATGTATATGATTTGGAACATGTAATATTTAACATTATTAATAGGTCTAGTTTAAAATTTTTGCACATTGTGTTCAATTATGTGGTATTTACATGGCAGAGTATGGACTTGGAAAAAAGCCATCACAAGCAGGAGATGTGTATAGCTTTGGAGTGATGTTGTTAGAGCTTTTTAGTGGTAAAAGCCCTATGGACGAGAGCTTCGAAGGAGATCAAAGTCTGGTAAAATGGATAAGTTATGGGTTTCAAAATAATGCAATTATGGAAGTGATTGACCCTAATCTTAAAGGACTCATGGACAATATTTGTGGTGCACAACTTCATACAAAAATTGATTGCCTTAACAAAATTGTGGAAGTTGGATTGGCTTGCACTGCATATGCAGCTGGTGAACGGATGAACATGAGAGATGTGCTACGGATCTTGAAAGCGGCTAAGGGGATGCTTGTCAAAGGAAACTAATGGAGATAATCTCTTTTCGTCAGTTAGTGAAGTTTAAATAAATAAGTCTATAGTTATTTACAGTTTTTTTTTTATTATAAATAAATTGTTTGTAATTCTCTTTGCATGTAATATTCAGGAATTTCAGTATTTCGGAATTTCATTAAAGTATTTTTCAGCTTGACAAAAAGATGCAGCATCTTTCTTGCAAAATTTGGTTGCCCCATCATGTTCAAGTGTGTCTTTTTGCTTGAATCGTCATTAGCTTTTCCAAGAAGGTCTATAAATGGAGATTTCCTTTAAATTTAGAGCAGGGAAACAAAAACAGATTGCACTTAAAGAACAGGTTCATCTAGCAACAGCATAAACTCCTTTTAACCCTCATAATTAACACGCTGAATCATTCTGCTACACATAGAAAATAACCAAACAAAAGAGGGATCAACCTTACCTGGTACAACAACAGCTTCAGAGCTGAAAGGTGACAGTTGAGCTAGACATCAGCCAACAATTGCAGGGTCGACAGAATTAGATTTTGGTTGAAGTAGATGCTTTAGCTTTACACACACAGCAAAATGAACCCAACTGCTCTAGAAGGATTTGCTCCACCAATGATATTTGTATCCTTCTCCAATGATACAGCTCCTAGATGCACTACCATGAACCAGAATTTACTAATACATGATCTTTTGAATGAATGTTTTGTAAGAATGTGGTTCACCTGAAACATATTCATCCCACCACCTTGGAGATTTTTCAACCATTTGCTTAACCAGTGAGTTTATCTTCCATTCTTGGAGTTACACCTGCACCACAAGTTTGAGTGACGGTGGGTAATAGCATCCCTTCTTGTTTTTCGCTTCTTTTTTGGTCGTCTATCGTCACTTCTTCTTTTGTTTATATTTCTTTCCTCCTCCATTATCCCGTGTCCTGGTTCTTGAAAGCTCACTTCAACGGGAACATCATACTTTGCCTCAAGAGAACTGTTTTTGTTTTTATCATTTTCATACACCAAACTCAATCCGCACTTCAACACCTTGAATACTCCTATACCACTTGTCACAGTAAACTCGAGAGAGGCTTCAGTAAAATTGCATTTATCAGAGTTCTGGTCTTCGAGACGCCTTATTGTATTTGGGCAACTAATGTAAGCTATAAAAACATGATCTGACTCAATCTTGTCTTTCTCGTCTCCCTCTCTAGTCCAAATTCCTACTGGGCAAGTAAAGGGGACCCAAGAATTGTCTTCAGCTTTTATTTTAAAGGTGCATGTCACCGAGAAGCAGCTGATTTGATCTTGGCCTTCAAGAAATGAGACTACAGCACATAGAGCTATTCCAGAAAGCCTCTCGTCATGCCAATGTGGGAGCAGTTTTCGTTGTAATAGAGATCCAACTGCTTCATGACAAAACCACGAAGGCACCTCACATCCAGGAAAGCAAGTGCTAAACAAAGCCTCTGAACTAAGACCCTGCAAAATTATAAGGAAAATCATTTTTGTGGAGTTTCCTGAAATATAAGAATCAGAGACGGATACAGAGAGCGATGTGGAGATATAATTTGAATATAGAGAGAGACCTCATTGTAGTGTTTACGAGCATCTGGAAGTAACTGGCATTTCCTTTGAGCATATGATGTGATTTCCTCCTTTGCAGCTTGCTCCAGGTTACCACAGTTGGTGAAGTTGAAAGTGCAATGGTTCTGCACGGTTGACACGATACGGGCCAGTGGTGTTGCAACATTCTTCAGTGAGCTACAGCCGTGTGCATCTAAGTACTGGAGGGTTGGTGGCAATTCTGGAACATATGTAAGCTTCGTACAATACTTCAAATCCAGCCGTGTTAACTGAGAAAGTTGATTGATGCCAACCCGTAGGTAGCTGATATGATCATTTCTGCTTAAGCATAAATATTGCACTGAATGTAACTGCGGCATCGTTTTGATGGATGTCCCATCCAGAAGTAAAAATTTTAAAGAGCTCTTGTTGATTTCTGGAAATTCCTTGAGCTTTAAACAACCAGAGAGTACCAGTTTTTGAAGAGCTTTCAACTCACCAAGACAGGTAGAAATAGTCTCCAGCATTTTGCAGTCCTTCATATTCAATAAGACGAGTCTCTTGAGGTTCACCACGTTGTCAGGAAGTTGACTTATCGCTGTTCCGTCCAAGTATAAAGCTTCTAGATTTTCTGGAATCAATGGAAATTCCTTGAAATTTGAGCAGTTGCTGAGGGTGAGAGTTTTCAAAGACATCAAATTCACATTTCGAAGGGATTCAAGACTTGTGCAGCCTTCAAGGTTCAGTCTTTGAAGATTTTGAGCCTTTGATAATCCTGACAAGCTGCACAACTTACTTGAGTGATTGAGATCAACCCATTTTAAGACTGGTGTATCCTGTGACAGCAAAACATTTAGCCACCTGTCAGAAAAACTACACAGATTCATTTAACGCAAAAAGGCTACAAAACTATTTATAAAGAGACACACCTTAACACCCTCCCAAAGTCGTTCAATCTCACTGTATGTCAGCTTAAGGTCGACGAGATTAATCGGGTCAAAATCGTTTGGAAGTTCCTCCAATGGGAATTTCAGCCAGTGAAGGCATCGGACCTCTTTCAATGGTAGCTCAAGTCCATCAGGCATGTTTATCTTATTGTTGGTTTTACATTCTTGAGGACAATGAGAATTATAGAACTTGAGATACCAGAGATTGCGCATATTTTTGAAGTGTTCACGGTCTAAGCTTGTTTCACCCTTCACTTCAGACAAATCTAGGAAAATACCTCTGACATCGGCAGCTCCCTATTAATGACAACAATAACAGAACAATATTAGCTAGCGAAGAGAAAAATAATGCAAGCTTTGATCAATAAAAATCTAGAGGAAGTTTTAGTTTCACCATTGTTTTCTGTTGTACATTAATTATGTCTTGCTGGAGCCACAACCTCCGTTGTTTGCTACCACCTGAGTGGATGCTCTAAGATCAAGTTCCCTAGAAAATGTATACAGTAGATCATGCATCTCCACACGGCCGTCACAAGTATCAATCAGGAACTTATTCTTGAGAGCTTTAATTGCTTCAGCAGATCCGGGGTCAGACGAAACCAGTAAACTTTCTACATAATCCACATCCTGCGATCTGAAACAGGCTATGTCGAGAAATGCATCTTTCTGCGCCATACTCAATTCATCAAAACTTACTTGCACGACCTCTCCAATATAAGTGGTGGGACTTTGAGCGAGTATTTTCAGTTTTGTTTCCCAATGCTTCATATTTTTCTCATAAAGCTCTCTACCCAATATTTTGAGAGCTAGTGGATGGCCTCTGGCATAATGCACGAACTCATCAGAAAGCTTCATGAAATCCACCTTGGGAGCAATGGCTTGATCATCATGAAAGGCATGATAGCGAAAAAGTTGTAAACCGTCTCTGTGGTTTAACTGTCGGACCACGTAAGTGTCATGAACAAGACCCTTCAATAAGGACTTGTCGTTTGTCGCAATGACAATCCTGCTGCCATCTTTGATCCACTCATGCTTATTTTGAAGATCATATTTCCCAAGAAGAGCATATATTTGTTCCCTTTCACTAACATCATCAAGAACGACAAGAACTTTGCGTTCGCGCAGCAGACCCTTATGAGTTTTGTATGGTTCTTCAACACTATCTATTTGAAGATTATTCAACTCCGGTAGTAATTTCTCTAAAAGCAATGTAGGCAAGCACTCTAACCTGAAGTTATTTGACTTTCCACGGATTTGATCGATTAACGCATACCTCGAAAACTTTCCCTTCCATGTCTTATAGAGCTCTTTGAGCAGCGTGGTTTTACCAATTCCCGGCATCCCAACAACTCCAATGACACGAGTTCCCTTGTATTTAATAAGATCCAACTTATCTTCCAACTCCTTCAACTGTTGTTTGATTCCAAAAGTCTTATCCTTTTCGCCTTCTGCCGAAGTTCTAGTGTCGATAATTTCTGATCGATCCACAGCGACCTTTCGACTTCCCTCCGATGGTTCCACAAAGAAATTTCGGCTTCCCTTCAATGGAACTTTCTTCAACACTTTCTTAACCTCCCTAACGATTTCGTTAAGTATTTCACTCTCAGGACTGCAACACGAATGAGGAAAATAAGATCACCTAAACATATCTAACAATTGTAACCACTAAAGGTTCAAGCTTTTGGGTTAACTCTCAAACCAATTGAGCAAAAGCAGTTACCTTTTATTATGAACAGTTATGCCAATTAAGTCAGGAACCCATTTCAAAGCTTTTTTCCACTCTTTCTTCTTCAACACATCACGTTCCTCAAGATCCCTAAAAGCATCACCGAACTGTCCTCTAACACCTCTAACAGTAGATGGATCCAACTTGTAGAAGATAGGAATAGCAACAAGGTTACCTTTCTCAACACAATCTTTGATCATCGCTAGCTCTCTCAAGCACCATGTTGATTCTGTGTACTTCCCAGAGAAGATAGCTAGAGCGATTCGAGACTCTTGTATCTTAGTTAAAAGTGTTTCTAGAGGTTCGCCTTTGTCTGCGTAATTGTCGATGAAGACTTTTATGTTATCGTTTTCTAAGGCTTCGACGAGATGGCTGACGAATCCCAGGCGTAAATCTTCTCCACGGAAATTGATGAATACTTGATGTTGTTGCGGTGGGAGATCGGAGGAGGAGGAGGACGCAGCCATGGGGAGAAACCGAGTACACTGTTTCGGCCACTTTCGGGTCAAATCAAATGGGGTTGTTGGGAGAAAGAGAACGAGACTTGCAAGTTGAATTTTAAAAGTCTCCATTTTTTACCAAATTAAATAATTTTTTATTTTATTTTCAAATATTAAAAAAAAAATAAGGAGAGAAAGAGAGAAAATATCTGTTTTTCAATTGACATTTTTATCTTTAAAGTTGTGTGGTGGTGGTATAATGTTGGGATAAGATTTTTATGCATGTTTATTTCTTTTTATTTTTGTCGTATTTTTTTCTTTACTTTCAACCGATCGATTTACAATTTTTTATATCTATTGTGATAGGTAAAGCTGTTAGACGATTCTTCATAGTTTGTTCTACTCAAATATTAAGATAAGATTTGGTCGAGATCTAATTATTTTTTTGCTTTCTCAATCAGACATTAGTTAAGTGCCGACCAAAAAAAAAATTCAGACATTAGTTAAGTTAAGTATATCTCGACGTTACCAATATCCACGAATAACAGATAGTTCTATAAGACTATAATAGATTTGTGATTTTCATCCAATGAATAAAATTAAGATTTAATCTGTGAAACTTGCGTTTAGCAGTTTTAGTTTATAATATTCTAGTTTTTTTTCGAATTTTTTTAATGGATTTTTGTCTTTAGAAATTTCAATATTTTTTCGCTTGATTTAGTTGAATTTTAAAACTCTCTATTTTTTCCAAATTAAATAATATTTTATATAATATTCAAATGTTTATTAAAAAATAAAAAATTACGGAGAGAAAGAGAGAAAAATGATTGGACCAAAAATGATATAATAAATATATTGATTGAAAGTGGTCGGAGACCATAATTGTGAAAGTGCAAGAGCTATTAAGTACTTGAGAACTAGCTCACGATTTAAGACAGAAACTGAGTCAGGAACTGAGTCACAAGCTGAGACAAGGATTTCTTCTTAAAACTCTTTTGATTAATAGAAAATACGTTTACAAGGTCTTCCTTAAACTATTTTCTATTCTCTCAATCTCTCGTTCTTAGATCACAACCCGATCAAGAACTCTCTCAAGACAAGTTTTAGCCCCCTTAAGCATTATGCTTTCTCACAAGAAACCACATAACCTTAATGTCTAATAATTCTCTTTCTCTCTTGTGCTCAGCTTTTCTAAAGCCTAAGCACCCTATTTATACTAAATAGGTCGTGGATATACAACAAGCCGATTTCCTATTCTAACACTAATAGGAATAGACAATTTCCTTTTTCTTTAAGGATTAGGAAATTGTCCTTTCTCTTCATGTTTCCTTTTCCTCCTATGAAAAGGAAACTCTTCAGTCTTCTAGAATCTTCTCCAAGCTTCTAGTATCCACAGCCAACCACCATAGACCGACTTTACCAATTTCCATATGCTCGCTTCACGTTGCTCTGTTCCCCTGAACTACTTCTTGAAGTACTCTGAACTAGTACAACGACTGCTTCAACAGCTTCATCTTTATTATTTGCCTTCTATAAATGCCGCTTTTTGTTTCTCTTCATCTTGATATAAAACTTATTAAGAATACATCAACAATCTCTCCCTTTCTTAGTGAGTTTTATAATCCAAGCTTCACACATCATTAACTTCAATTATTACTTTGATGATCTCCAAACTCTCTCTCAACCTTGAAACAAAGATCTCAGCAGCTTCTAAAACTCGGTCTTCACAACACCAACAATCTCCCCCTTGATGACTGAGTTTTAGAAACAAAGCACATACTTAATGATGAGATAAAACATCATGCTTCGTTATATCACTTCATGTGCTACTTTGTCACCGGTACAGCGAGTGTGTCAACTGGCTGCATCAATAATCTCCCCCTTTTTAACTTTGTGTGTCTCACAAGCATCTGTAAAGCAGACCCATAAAGCTACACACAAGCCACATAGGGTTCTAGCAAAGAACAAGCAAAACCATCTTCAAAACTCCCCCTTAATCCTATGCCATATTATGAAAACTCCCCCATAAAACAACATCCTTCTCTTAGTCACATTCTTCTCCCCCTGCTTGTGAGCACACACAAGTTAAAAACACTTTCGTAGGTTGACACACACATGAATCCCAGCTGGACTACTTCAAAGGTCAAGTTGGTCAATTCTGAAATTTTATATGAACTCTGTCCAAAACAGGTTGAATAAGACCCAAACCAACCGTCAAAATCTCAATCCCACCGT